AGAGATTACTGTGTGGTGGATGTCCTCCCCTGGGGTGGGATGGGTGGGGAAAGATAGCAGGTCCACATCAGCAAATTGCTGCCATAAACTTAACCTGCTCAAAAAAATAAAGATGATGATGATGATGATCTTTGATGTCGGTAAGAAAAAGTTACTGTCAGTCTAGAGATACTGAGGGCTTGGAGATTGGGACTGAAAAGGACCGTGCCACTTTACCCGGATCAACACGCCTATTAATCCTGGCAAGGGAAAACATTTCTTGCTATTAGTTTGAATCGTCAACCGCGACCTTAGATATGACTTCTAAATGGGCGTTTCCCGAAGTTTGGGAGACACTTTTCTTTTCTTTTCTCTTGTTTGTGTTAATTTCTTTTTTGATATCATCCACCCATGAACTCTATCGGAGTGGAGTTTTTCATCAGAAAATTGGAGAGCAAGGCGGATAGAGTTCTAGGAGCCATTTGCTCTGGAGAACTAACAAAATAGTTATCTTGAGTTAATATTTTGCAGGTTTCTTAACATGTATCAAATCTGGAATTATCTATACCATAGATAACTTTGTGGACATCAGCATACACCCAATCAAAGGAAAATGAAATAAAACAACTCAGCGCAATTCAAAGTAGTGTAACTCAATGCACTGCAATTTAATTCAATAAAATACGCGATACTCCGAAGTCATTTAATTTGTTTCTCTCGGCCAAAACTACCTCAAAACTAAATATGGAATAGAGCTTTATATTAGAAATAAAATTATGCATTAAATCAGTCGCTTTAAATAAAATTAGCCGTCGTCAACCACGTCGTTGGTCATTTTACGTTGTTGTTTGGCAGAGGACGCAAAGAAATTTACAAAGATTTACAACGCAGGTGCACAGCTATTCTGCTCATAAAACCTTTTGTTTAGCGACGTTCTCGTTGCCGTTACGTCCTCCCTGATGTATGACGTAAGATGGCTGACACGAAAAAAGCCAATTGGCGACAAGCTTGGGACCACGTGGGCTCGAAAGATGACAAGGCGCGCTCTTCAAATCTTTCTATTCAGACAACAACACCTGAAAATATGGCCGGCAGTTTTAATCTTCCGCAAAAAGAAACAAAACATGCTTCTTCAAGGCTCATTAGGTGGTGAAACCCAACAAACATTTTCCGAATAACGAGGAATGAGAAAAAACTGGTGAGTTAAACTATTTGTTTTCAATAAGGTTTTACTTAACTTTAAGTAAAAAATAAAATTTCGTACATGTGCGTGTTGCACGCAGAAACCTGTAGCTCTGTCCGGTCTATAAAATTCACCCGTTATGCAAAGTTTGGTTGAGAGATTCTGTTAAACAGAGGTTAGCTCATATCAAATAATGTGCTATAATTTCTTTTTTTGTTTCAGAACTTACCAAAATAGTTCCTACCTTCTTGGCTTGTTTGCGTTTGTTAAATGCAAATGTTGCAGCCGGGGAAGAGAGACACGCTGGAGTGGAAACAGAAACAGGTGAGTAATACTTCATCGTTGCATTTTTAAAATATCTCAATGGAATTTTCGGAAATTCAAACTTAATGCTTTAGACCTGAGAATAATTACAGGAGAATTTTCTTAAAGGTAAATAAGTTTCCTGAATGGCTTTTCACCCGAAAACACGCGCTGCGTGTTTCAAGAACATCTCCTATTTTTTTGCTCGAAAATTCAATTATTCCATTGTAAAAAATTCCATGAATAAAACTAGATAATACGACGGGAAAAAGTCCAAAAACGTTCTTTCACTTTTTATGTTATGGTAAAAGTTTTGCACTGGTCACTCCTATAATTGTTGCTTGTTACATCTTTTTCTCGGGCGTCTCGATTTCTCTGAAAAAAAGCGCGAATTAGGTCGATTTTTATTGCCTCTATAGTAAATCACCACCGTTTTAAAGAACTCCAACAGACAGTTCCACCCCTCCCACAAAAAAAATGAAATTACGGCAGGATTTCTGCACACCCACAAACTTCATTCTTGAATAAAAAGAAAACAATGCGAAAACAATAGATTCCTTTTGGGAATTATGGCTTTGTTTCAGTCCAGCATGGGGTTCTACGGAAACCTTCCTAAAGTACATTTGCGAAAAAATTTATAATCTTTCTTTCGAAATTAACCATCAGACTGTAAAGGTGTTCAAATCGGAAGTATGTCTTTTTCTTTATTTTCGCTCAGTATTTACTCAGAATATTCATCCCCGTCGTTCCTTTCCTCTACAGTTTTCCTCCTTTTTTCGGTTTAATTTTTTTTTGGAAATAAGAGCATTCAAGCGAGTCAGTTCCTCGTTAATCAACTTGCGTAGGTTAAGACTACGTTTCGCAAAAAAACTCGCTTTCTCTAGTAGAGAAGGTAAATATTCCTGCAGTTAAGATATTTTTAGTGTTCTGGCTTCAGGTTTTGCTCTGTTCTTATCTTTCACTCTAGGCATGGCTCCATTTTATTTTGTTAACATTTGTCAAATTTGCAATGATCAATACCATAGGTAACTTTGTGGACATCGGCATAGACCCAATTAAATGAAAAAAAAATAATAATAAAAAAAAAAGTCGGTGCAATTCAATGTAGTGTAATGCAATGCAATATAATAAAAAAAAAAATACAATACGATGACGAAAAGTGGGAGCATATGGCAGGTCTCACTAGGAAAATGTAGATTCTTAAAATGACAACTTTACATAGCAATTAATCTTGGTTTTTGGAAATAGAATTATTTGTCCCCTTGACCGAAAGTAAAAGGAGTCTTTAAAGGACTGACACTTAGCAGGCCTGGACACTTGATAATATTTGAGGGAGTGGTTTATCAATGTAACAATGTATGACGTAAGATGGCTGACACGAAAATGGCCAATTGGCGACAAGTATGAGACCACGTGGGCTCAAAAGAAGACAAGGCGCGCTCTTCAAATTTTTCAATACATAACAACAAGTGAAAATAGGACAAACAGTTCTAGTGTTCCGAAAAAAGAAGCTAAACATGCTTCTTCAAGAATCATAGGGTGTCGAAACCCAACAAAAAGTTCTGAATAACGAGGAATGAGAAAAAACTGGTGAGTTAAATTGTTTGTAGTAAATAAGGTTTCACTAGTATGAAAATGAAAACTTAAATTTCTTACACGTGCATGTTGCACACAGAAACCTGTAGCTCTGTTCGGTCCGGAAAATTCCCCTTTTTATGCTAAGTTTGGTTTAAGATATTCTGTTAAACAAAAGTGAGATCATATTTAATAATATAACTTCATTTTCGTTACAGAACATACCAAAATAATTCCTACCTTCTTGGCTTTCTTGCGTTCGTTAAATGCAAACGTTGCAGCCTCGAAAGAGACACAAGTTGCAAAGGAAACAGAAACAGGTAAATAATGCTTCATTCTTGCATTTTTAAAATATCAGTGGTATTTTAGACAATTCAAACCGGTTGCTTGAGACTTGAGAATAATTAACGATAGAATTTTCTTCAAAGTGAACAAGTTTCCAAAACAGTTCCCGCCGTGAATGGCTTTTCACCCGAAAAACACGCGCTACATGTTTCAAGAACGTTTCCTATTTTTCCCCTTACAAATTCAGTTATTTCACACTAACAAAATTCGCTGAGTAAAACTAGATAATATAACGGAAAAAAAGTATTTGCGTTCTTTTCCTGTTAATATTATGGTGAAAGTTGCGCACTGGTCACTCTTATCATTTTTGTTTTTTCAATACTGTTGTTTGTTACATATTTTTCTCGGGCGCCTTGTTGTCACAAAAATCCGCGAATTAGGTCACCTTTAGCTGCCTCTAAAGTCCATTACCACCGTTTTAAAAAATTCAACAGACAGTTTTACCCATCCCACCACCAAAGAAAAGAAAATACGGGAGAATTTTGCACACCCCCATGCTTCATTACGTATACAGTTCTCGAATAAGAAGAAAGCAATGCGAAAACAGTAGATTCCTTTTAGGGACTATGGCTTTGTTTCAGAATAGCACGAGGTTATACGGAAACCTTCCTAAGGTACATTTGCGAAAAAATTGAAAATAACCTTTCTTAAAAATTAACCAACAGATTGTAAAGGTGTTCAAATTGGAAGCTGTCTTTTTATTTATTTTCGCTGAATATTTACACAGAATATTCACCCCCGTCGTTCCTTTCCTCTACGATTTTCCTCCTTTTGTCGGTTTGATGATTCTTGGAGATAAGAGCCTTCAAGCGAGTCAGTTCCTCGTTAATTAACTTGCGTAGGTTAAAATTACATTCCCAAAGGAAAAATGTTGTTGCATTTGTTAAGATATAACTGTTTCTTGCTTGAGGTTATGCCCTGGTCTTATCTGCACTCTATGCGTTGCTCCACTTTAGTTTTTAGGATTTTTCAAGAGTTACCTTCTCATAAATGGCATTCTATGACAAAGATTCTGTTCTTGAGTTGTCTATTTATCATTCATTCATTAATGCATCCAATAGGTCCCTCTGTCATCCATTCATTCATCCACCCATCCATTCCTTTATTCCTTCATTCCTCTCTTCCTTCCATCCTTCGTTCATACTTGCATTAGTTCCTCCATTCACTAACTCGTGAACTCTATCAACAATGTATAAATCCCTCGTTAAATTTTTTTTTCGTTTCAGCATTAACCCTCTTACTGTGGAATAAACCGAGTTAGTTCACCACCTCGTCCAACCACCACACCAATAAAGCAACATTGTACCAGCTTGACTCTGATGAGGACATTTTAAGATGTGGGGAATTGGATTGTTGGAAGATGAGACCTCAGGTATCTCTTCACTCCTCTTCAATTTACACAACATCTTAGGATTTATTCACAGATGTTCAACTGGGAAAGAAGACGCAGATGGAAGACAAAATCAAACTGGTTAGCTTATTCCTTTTGGGTTGGCAGGGAGGGTTATTGTTAGAGCTCTGGATGAACCTTCATCAAATTTCGGCTTGAAGTCCATTGACTTCGTATTCGGCTTAATTTAATGTAGTTAGGTTAGATAGTTGGGTCCCCTTGGGTTGGCTGGGTCCTCCCTTTAGGTCTCTCTTTGGGTTCCTTTTCAGGTACTTTCGGCATAGGTTCGGCATAGGTTCTCGGTTTAGGTTCGAATAGGTTTCGGCTTGGCTCTCACTTCGCAATCAACTTCAAGACTACGGCTCTCGGTCACTGTTTTATCTTCACTGCAGCTATGACTGCAGCAAGGAAGCAGAACAGATCTTCTACGGTCATCACAACCTTTTTCGGAACTGAAAATCTCCCGCTTAGTTGTGCGCTAAAAAGTTATTTTTTCATTTTAAGTTTCACTGGATAGCAGTCACACAAAGGATTGGTATCGAGTGAGGCTCTTTCCTCCAAAATATACTTTAAAATTCAAAACCATTTTGGCCTAAAGGTTCAACCAGACATTTTTTTTATTGTAGGTAACTGGACGTTTTAAGCCATTCAGCAGAGGGGAGTATGCCCATTTGCTACTTCTAACATGTTTAGTGGTTTAGCTCCAGTTGAAGCCGCCAGTCGAGGCTTCATTTAGTGGGAAATAGGAGATATGCACACACCACAGTTAGGTCACAACAAAATTAAGCCAATTGAACAATACATTGTGATGGCTTGGGAGCTGTCAGTCAGAATTTTGGGCCATTATAATTCAAGACAATTATTTTGTCATGTCAGCCTAAATTCAAAGAGAAATCAACTCATTACTTTACATCATAAATCACACGAGGATGTTTCAGTGAAGAGGACATAGCTTTGAGTTGAAAGAAATGGCCAATAATGAACTGTTAACTTTTTATGCATACTTTAGGCAAATTGTTTTTATCATCACAGCAAACTTGCTGTCAGACAAATTGTTGTAAATAATACTCTCCACTGAACACTAATGGAGTTATCATGGAGAAGGTAAGGTCAGCAGGTACGTAAAAACTTTTAATTACTATTCCTTCGGCTATCTGGCACTTCCGGAACTTGACGTCATCGTCATATTCGGCTTTCGGTTCACAGTATAATTGGCATCCAATTAACTATACTGACCAGTGGCCTGGTAACGAATATTTTGTTAGCAGGCTGCATCTGCATACACTCCATCTGGGACACCCTGGGTGTTCCTTCGTGGTGTCGACATTTACTGACACAGGAACACTTGAGGTTTCCTCAGATGCTAAATTTTTCATTTAGGATTGCGCGTCCCAACCATACACACTTAACTTAAAATAAAAATGATGTAACATTTTGAAAATAATAAAAACAAAAAATCTGTGTCTCTGTCTACTTTTGTACAGATAATCAAGAAACTAAATACTACTAAACATTCTTTTTCAGCACAAAATTTACTTTTCACCTATTTATGCAAACCATGCAAAATACATAAATCTACTAACAATTTTTCTTTTTCAGGATTATTAGATGAATATGTTAAGTAACATGATGTAAAAGATTTGAAAACAATAAAAAACAAAGACTGGTGTCTGAGTATTTTTTTTTTTTAAAAAAACACTGGATAAAAACTACTAACTGGCTCCTTTTTTTCAGGACTGTTTATATCTTTCAACTGGTATTCTGTACAGATGCCACGCAAAACATAATTTTAAATCTACTAACATTTTAATTTCAGGAGATTTAGACTAGGTTCATCTTGTAAAAGTGGTTCAAAAAATAAAATGAGAAAAACCTATGTGTGTAGTTTTATCGTTTCAAAAAAATTACTGACAAGATTCACTTTTCAGGACACAAAAAGACTAATCAATGTGTACTTTTTTTCATGGGCATTCACAACAACTGGCAAAGTAAGTCTTGTAATTATGGATAATATGATGACAATGACACGTACATTTTCTCAAGTCTCCAGGACGTCTTGTTACAGGCCAGAAACAACTTGAGATGAGAAAAACAGGTTGAAAGCTTATTTAAAAGGTATGCAATTGTTTCAGTTTTGACCTGCTGAGTGACACAGAGTAATTAGACTGAAGATTACATGACTTGTTGGAGAACACATTCATGGAGACAAGATGCCTGCCTATATCTTGTTTTACATCTCAAGTGTGCCAAAAGTAGATGGCAGGTCAGATTATATGCCTATTTGAGTTTTTTCAGCAGCATATAATTTATAAGAGCACAAAAGAGGCAAAATTGTGTGGTAAATATAAAGACGCTCAAGTCAGAAGGAACACAAGTATGCTATGGCCTTACTTGAAATTAATACTGAAATTTAGAGTAAACTGAAACAAGTCAGATAATTTTGCAAAGGCACATAAGAAAATTAGAAAACAGTATCCTGGAAAGATGAAGGCAAACAATGGATATATCTCGTACTGTATGAATAATCAATTGTCTGTTGGGGAGAAAGAAATCGTTTATACTGCATCTCCAGAACTTTCAAGATATGCACAAAGAGGACTTTTGACTGTATTAAATAAGACTGTGTTACTCTTGAGAAGTCTGCAGTTTATATTTTGTAGCTGATAGACCAGGAACTTCATGGGCACTTACTATCATCATCACAGGTAAGGCACAATTAAAGTATAAGAATTAGATTCACAGCAGTTCTTCAATGCTATGTTGCCCCAAGCAAAGGAAAGTGAAAGTTCTTTTAACAGAAGAGGAAACTTGCTTTACCAAAGTATTTCAATCTTTATGGGATCCAAACCCAAGAAACACTGTCTCGATCACACTGGGTAAAAGTTGAAGGTGAAGCTGCTTTTATCCTAATGGGATTCAAACCCATGAAACACTATCTCGCACTGGGCAGCAGCTGATGGTGAAGGTGCTTTTATCCTAATGGGATTCAAACCCATGAGACACTGTCTCACACTGGGCAACAGCTGATGGCAAAGGTGCTTTTATCTTCAGTTAATGGGATTCAAACCCATGAAACACTGTCTCGCACTGGGCAACAGCTGATGGTGAAAGTACTTTTATCCTAAAAGGATTCAAACCCATGAAACACTGTCTCGCACTGGGCAACAGCTGATGGTGAAGGTGCTTTTATCCTAATGGGATTCAAACCCATGAAACACTGTCTCACAGTGGGCAACAGCTGATGGTGAAAGTCCTTCTATCCTAATGGGATTCAAACCCATGAAACACTGTCTCACACTGGGCAACAGCTAATGGTAAAGGTGCTTATCCTAATGGGATTCAAACCCACGAAACACTATCTTGCACTGGGCAACAGCTGATGCTGAAGGTGCTTTTATCTTCAGTTAATGGGATTCAAACCCATGAAACACTGTCTCACACTGGGCAACAGCTGATGGTGAAGCTAGGTGCTCTTATCTTCAGTTAATGGGATTCAAACCCATGAAACACTGCCTCACACTGGGCAACAGCTGATGAAGGTGCCTTTATCTTCACTTAATGGGATTCAAACCCATGAAACACTGTCTCACACTGGGTAACACCTCATGGTGAAGATGCTTTTATCCTAATGGGATTCAAACCCATGAAACACTGTCTCGCACTGGGCAACAGCTGATGGTGAAAGTACTTTTGTCCTAAGGATTCAAACCCATGAAACACTGTCTCGCACTGGGCAACAGCTGATGGTGAAGGTCCTTTTATCCTAATGGGATTCAAACCCATGAAACACTGTCTCCCACTGGGCAACAGCTGATGGTGAAGGTGCTTATCCTAATGGGATTCAAACCCCATGAAACACTGTCTCACACTGGGCAACAGCTGATGCTGAAGGTGCTTTTATCTTCAGTTAATGGGATTCAAACCCATGAAACACTGTCTCGTATTGGGAAACAGCTGGTGGTGAAGGTGCTTTTATCCTAATGGGATTCAAACCCATGAGACACTGTCTCACACTGGGCAACAGCTGATGGTGAAGGTGCTTTTATCCTAATGGGATTCAAACCCATGAAACACTGTCTCACACTGGGAAACAGCTGATGGTGAAGGTGGTTTTATCCTAATGGAATTCAAACCCATGAAACACTGTCTCGCACTGGGCAACAGCTGATGGTGAAAGTACTTTTATCCTAATGGGATTCAAACCCATGAAACACTGTCTCACACTGGGTAACAGCTGATGGTGAATGTGCTTTTATCCTAATGGGATTCAAACCCATGAAACACTGTCTTACACTGGGCAACAGCTGATGGTGAAGATGCTTTTATCCTAAAGGGATTCAAACCCATGAAACACTGTCTCACACTGGGCAACACCTGATGGTGAAGGTGCTTTTATCCTAATGGGATTCAAACCCATGTAACACTGTCTCACACTGGGTAACAGCTTATGGTGAAGGTGCTTATCCTAATGGGATTCAAACCCATGAAACACTGTCTCACATTGGGTAACAGCTGATGGTGAAGGTGCTTTTATCCTAATGGGATTCAAACCCATGAAACACTTTCTCACACTGGGTAACAGCTGATGGTGAAGGTGCTTTTATCCTAATGGGATTCAAACCCATGAAACACTGTCTCACACTGGGTAACAGCTGATGGTGAATGTGCTTTTATCCTAATGGGATTCAAACCCATGAAACACTGTCTGACACTCGGCAACAGCTGATGGTGAAGGTGCTTTTATCCTAATGAGATTCAAACCCATGAAACACTGTCTTGCACAATGATTAACAGACAGTGAAAGTGCTTCAGTAAAAAAAGTATAAACTTAAACCAGAAGCATTTAAACCTGAATGGGATTCAAACCCATGAAACACTGTCTTACACTATAAGTAACAGACAGTGAAAGTGCTTAGTACATGGAAAAGGATTTAACCTAAGTCAAAAGCATTTAAAACCTTAAAATGGGATTCAAACCCATGAAGGCAGCAATAAAAAGACTTGAAGTACAACAGTTCAGAAAAGTATTATGAAGGATTTTGCACAATTAATCCAATGTGTTAAAGGTTTTTTTACAGTAGCTGTGATGGAATGTATAGGGAAGCAGTCAGTCAAAATTTCCTACACGAGTCACTGCTTTACATCAAAAATGCCAAGAAAACTACCAATATGTGTGTTGGCTGGGCCAGGGATAAAACAAGGACCTGTCAACAACCTACAAATTCCTGGAGAAGCAAGCTCAAGGTAGGTTAAGTACTAATTAGCACAAGTTTCAAATTGCATGCATATGTTGCCCCAGCTGATATAAAACAGATGAAAATAAGAGCTACAGGTAAAGGAAATGCTTTGATCACTGCAAGGGTACAATTATTGTAAATTGGGAAATAAACAATTAACGGGAATGTTTAAAACGGTTCTCCATACCTATTCTTTTGGCCCTCACCGATGTAGGTGTGAAGTTCAATTAATTCAGGATATGCACTAATATCAGACTAAATTAAAACCATTAATGAAGAAGTTTATATCCTTTGTCTGCCACGTGTTTTCATTTGCAGATAAAATTATTTCATTTGTTTATATATCAGTTTCATAGTTATGTACCGGAAGTCCTGAAGTGTGCAATTGGGGATCAATCAAAATGCTGGCTGTGCAACAGTGCTGTACAATGACAATTGCAAACACAAGCTGACCATGTAAAACAACCTGTATCGATGATAACATAAATGAATACTTCATTAAGGTAAGGAAAATAACTAAGACGAAGAAGAACTGCCACGATGATTTAAACTGGCTTGATCATTAACCCCTCAACTCCTAAGATCTGATTGTTAATTCTCCCCTCAGTAGCTACTGCAAATTTTCCAGTAGATTAGTTAGGAGAATTTGGTTTTAGATCAAGATAATGACTTTTAGCTGATAATCTTGAGCATTCTCACAACTATAAATCTGCTGAACAATGGAATTGGATACGATAGGGAGAAGTTACATGCTGATCACCTCTGGAAGTTAAAGCATTAAAAACAAGAAAATTAAGTTGTTACTCCTGTGTACCTTTATATCAAATTTGTGAACTCCAAAAATGAAAGGGAAAGCATGCTTAGAAATCTCTTGAGTCAAAAATCTCTTTAGCAACAGTATCTATACCTACCCAGAGTTTCTTGATTTTTATCCCACTTTTTTAGCATTATTTCATTGTTTAATAGGTTCAAGGTTGTGCTCTAAGAAATATTGAAGGGATCGAGCCCAGTGTTCTGAAACTGTGAAATCCAGGGTACCCAGCATATGCTTTTTACGTATGATGCACGATCCTCGCAGTAGATAGCGCTATTTAAGCAATAGCAAAAATCAGACCTGAAAAAAATCAGGCCTGTACGGGATTCGAACCACTGACCTCTGCGATACTAGTGCAGCGCTCTACCAATTGAGCTAACAAGCCAACTGGGAGCAGGCCGTTAAGTTGATTCGTAATAAACCCGTGAAAGTGATAAATGAGATACAATGAAATATATGAAGTTCATATATTTTG